TTAGACAATGGCTTATAACCTAGTAGCACACAGCCATGGGCTAGGAACCTGTTGTTCCAGGTGCTGAATGAACACAGAGCAAAAATGAGCTTCCCATCTTACAAGCATGAGGTTTTATATCCCTTGCCCAACTTCTAGCGTGGCCTCTCACAGCTCTGGATATTCATTTCGTCCAATCATAGGGCCGGAAGGGACCTGAAGAGATCACGTATTCCACCCCGCCCCAGGCTGAGGCAGGATATCCGATCCCTCTTTGAATCTTGCTAAATGCGGTGCTTTACCAGCATCCTGGGGCAAGGAGTTCTGCAGTCTAAACTTGGCTTGTCTACACATGGAAGCTAATCTGGAATAAGGTGAAATAAGGAAATTGAGGGTCACCCGATGAAATTAATAGGCAGCAGGTTTAAAAACAAAAGGAAGTGCTTCTTCACACAACGCCCCGTTGGCCTGTCTGGATCTCATTGCCAGGGGACGTTGTGAAGGCCAAAAATATAACTGGGTTAAAAAAAGAATTGGATAAATTCAGATAAACCCATCGGTGGCTGTTAGCCAAGGGGGTCAGGGATGCATCCCCATGCTCTGGATGTCCCTAAATCTCCAACTGCCAGAAGCTGGGACTGGACGACGGGATGGATCACTTGAAAATTGCCCTGTTCTATTCATTCCCTCTGAAGCATCTGGAACCGGTCACTGTCGGAAGACAGGATACTGGGCTAGATGGACCATTTGTCTGACCCACTATGACCGCTCTTAGTTAAAGAGAATTAAAATTCCTGATGATCTCCATGTGTGGATGCTCTTATTCTGGAATGAGAGAGCTTATTCCAAGTTAGTTTAATCTGTTTCCAAAGTGGATTAAGCTAATTTGGAGCAAAAGTGTCCCTGTGTGGAGCTCGTCGGGCGTAGTTAATCGGGAAAAGCTATTCTGGAATATCGTCCTGTGGAGAGGAGCGCTAATTATGCATTGTGTGGTGGGTGGGGAAGTATTTCCTGTTATCCTTGGCCAACTGACTTTCCAATTTCACGGTTTTGCAGCAGTGACAGATTTATGTTGCACTCCCCTAAGCTATTTCTCCCGGGATCCCTATGGGGACGCCGGTGGTTCCTTGCACAGATCTAAGCAGGGAAAGCGAGGCGAGGCAGGCCTCTTCGCCGCAGACGCTGGAGGGAAATGGATGCACCGTTCCCCGCGTCCGTCGGGAACGCTGAGGTGATGGCTTGGTCGTTAAATGGCAGACGACGAGTCACATCACCCGTAGCAACGGCATCAGTGTCGCTTCCCAGATGTAATTGGCATGGAGACGGGCGCATGGGAGGATGCACTGGGGGTGGGAGCTGTAGGAGGGTGAAACTCCCCCCGATGTGTGGGGGGGTCCAGCCCAAGACTTGGACCACGTTAGTCGCACTTTAACCCTAGGCCTTGTGGGACCGGAATGGGTCTCGTCTCTTTAACAATGCAGGAGACGTCTGTTGTTTTAAAAGCCCGCCCCCGCTACAGCAGGATCAAGGAGATAACGGTTAATGTGTATTAACATTCGCTTGGCTTCCAGACCCGCTTGCTCTGTTTCCAGGCTCTTGGCTCCTGGGGGTCGTAGCAGGAAGTTCCAGAACCTAGGTACAAACCGGCTGCGGGCGCCTGGGAGAGGGTTATAGTGTTGATGGAGGCTGCGGGGGTGGGTACTGCACTTCACAAACGGTATTTAAAGACTCTAAACCCTTATGAGCTGGGGTTATCCCCATCGGAGTGGGGCACTGACGAGCCAAGTGACCTGTCCCTGCTGGCTTGGGGCAGAGCCGGGAAGGGCGCTAGATTGGGAGACCCCGATTCTGTTCCCGGCTGGACCGCTGATTCCTTATGTGACTTGGGCCAAGTCACCCCCTCTGTGCCCCATGCAAGGCCAGGGAGCGTGACGGTTATTTGTATTACTGTGGTGTCGGCTAGATGCCTAGAAATGATCAAGAAGGCTGCCTAACCGAGAGTAGGGCCCCTTTGCGTAGTGGCTGCATGGACACACCGAGACAGTCCCCCTCCCAGAGACTTCACTGTCCAAACCAGATGAGAGGAAGGGTCTTATCCTGTGCTTTTAACTCTGTTTGCAACCAATAATCCTTCCAGAATCCAGCTCCATCCTCTGTCTCCTCCGCTTCCCCGGTGAGGGAAGAAGCTGTATGGTGCAGGAGGAAAACCCCGTAGCTCTTCCACACTAGCAACGGGGCCAGGAGGGAAATACACCCTCCAGGTCTAGTTCAGCTGGCACGCAGGTTGTTCCCCCCACGTCAGCATTCAAAGACACCCCTCTTGGCCGGCCCCAGGGACTGAACCGGGGCCTTGCACGAGGCTACAGGATGAGGTTGGGGTGGGCGCTGAGAGCCATTGAACCAAACTTTAAACCTTGTATATGACGGAAACCACTTGAAGCCAGGGAGTGCGGCAGCACCCGTAATTCCAGCACCTATGGGTGGGCTTTAGAGGCGCACTGCTGTTAGCATGTTCGCTTGCACCCTGCTAGCAGGAGCCTGTCTCCCTAGGCTGGCAAGCTTACGGCAGGGCACAGATATGCCTATAGCCCGTTTGGGTTACACTTCTGTTTTTTCTCTACGACCAGGAGCGCTGAAGTCTGTCTTCTTTTCCCTGAAATCTGAGATTCTCTCGGTCCCGGGACTCCCAGAAAACCAGCAAACATCACCACACTCACTATAAAATGGCGAGAATTAGCCACCCTGCTGACGGTCAAATTCCCTCTCTGCGTTTCAGCCTGCTGGGCTGGCCCTCACGTGCGACCGAAACCCTTATTGCCTTAAAATCCTGACCCTTCCTTATTGCAGCCGTTGCTCTGAGCATTTTAGCCGACTCTCTCTTTTTAAAAAAATTTATTTTAATGAGTTTTTAATTGTCTGCTTCTCTTTGCCATCTATTTATTTTTAAACAAAGCTCTGAGCTGTGCTCTCTGGGCGACAATTAGCAGCGAGCTGCTTTTTCACTGTGCATGACATTCTCCTGAAAGAGAGAGCCTGCCAGCGTGAATATGGAGTGAATTTTGGTTCCTTTGCCATGGTAGCTCCTAAACTTAAAAAAAAAAGAACCAACAACAAAACCACCACCCCCCCCCCCCCCCCCCCCCCCCCGCGTCCCAATAGAAATCAGCCTAAATGATCATAATGGTCCCTTGTGCCTTTCAATGCTTTGAAAATATCAACAACCGCTCCCAGTGAGAGCTCATCGAGTGTCCCGGAGAAATATGCAGCCCCAGAGTGCTGCAGAGACGCCCGGAAATCTCCTGGCACTTCCATGTGAAACCTAACGAGCCGCTCCCAAATATTTATTTCTGTCCAGCTGTCTGCTCTGCTCCTCCGCTCCCCCTCCTTGCTAGGATCAGGCCGCTGCGTAATGGTCGTTCATCTTCTAAAGCTGGGGTGGAAGGATTTCTCTCTGGCATGCTGGCTGGCTGGGGGCGTTCGCTGGCTGACCCAGGGCCTAGCCCCAGCCTTGGTTCAAGTCCCCACTCTTCCTACATGATCTTAAGTCACGTGGATGTTTAGGCACTGAACTCCCGTTGAATTTGGTGTCTAAATACCTCTAGGATCTGGGCCTTTGTCCCGCCGTACTTCAGGTCCCTGTCAGTAAAATGGGGACAGTGGAATTTCCCCCACCTTGGGTGGGTGGGTGGGTGTGTGTGTGTGTGTGTGTGTGTGTGTGTGTGTGAGAGAGAGAGAAGATGGTGAGGGCTCAGACGCCGTGCTAAGGGTGGGCCCAAAAGTACCATAGACGGATGCAGCTCTGATTTCAAAGACAAGAGGAAGCTGGGGGATCTGCGTATATTCCCGTCCCGCTGGGCTTGCAGGGGACCCACAGTGACACGGCTGTGTGTGTGTGGGAGGGCGGGGGTGAGAGGGCCAGCTTTACTCTCTGCGTGAGGGCGGGCTGCAGGGAGGCTTAGGGGACATGTTTGCTTCTGGGCCTTGTGGGGCGGGGGGGGGGAGGGAGGGAAGCAGAGGGTCCCCCACTCCCCCAGCCATGTCTGAATCCCCCTGTGCTGGGCCTGTTTGCTCAAGGATGGAGTTTGAGGCCTATCTGTCTTGGCTCTCCAGTGGCTGCTGTTGCCGTGGCGACGCAGCACCTCAAACCCCCTCAGAGGTAGGGAAAATGGTGAGGCGCGTCCGGTCTGGTGGGTGGGGTGCTGCACTGGGAGTCTGGGCTCCTGGGTTCCATCCCCAACCCTGCCAGCTGCGTGACGCTGGACACATCACTTTCCCGTGCTGTGCCTCAGTGTCGTCCCCCCCCCTTTGTCTCGTTTCGCCAGGTGTCTGCCCAGTTCCTACTAGAATAGGCCATGGTCTCATAGGCCTCTGGGTGCTACTGCAGTACAGATGAGTCCTTTTACACGTGGGAAACTGAGGCGCAGAGCTGGGAAGTGACTTGTGCAAGGTCCCACTGTGGGTCAGAGGCGGAGCCGGGAATAGAACTGAGGAGTCCCAAGAACCGGGGGCTGAGAGTGTGTGTAAAAAAGGACTTGTTGGAAAGTGAATTGTGCTCTAATATGTAATATTGCAAGCCAGCGTAATATCGCCAGCTGAACTGCCTTTGTGATTTAAAAAAAATGACTTACTGTTTGCTCTCATCTGGGTTTTTTAAACTTCGTTTTCATTATCTAGCATAAAAAAAATAAACCGCCTTTGGCTCCCAAGCACTAATTTATCCAAGTTAAATGATCTTTACAATCTGCTAACGCATCATGGATCCCAGCTTCTGTAATTAATGCCTCTGTTTAAATCCTATTCTTTCCTTAGGGGTGAGACAGACGGACCCCGATGCTACGTGCAAAACTTTTGCTGAGACTTCAAAAAAAAAACCCAAAACCAAATCAAATCCAGCTTGAATTTCTTGTAAATAACTTGTCTTGGGAAGAAACTCACCATGTTTATTGTTATTGTTGTTTTGTTTTATTCTCTTATGTAGCATCGAAGACATGTAGCCCTAAACAGTTTGCATGCAAAGATCAGATTACGTGCATATCTAAGGGCTGGAGGTGTGATGGAGAGAAAGACTGTCCCGACGGATCTGATGAATCTCCTGATATATGTATGTATCATTTTCTTTCCTGCTAATTGTGTCTGTATTTATATTTTTCTACTGCGTGCATCTTCTAGGGTTCTGAACTGGCATCAACCTGAAAGTTTCCTCCCTCGTTCATTTTCTTTCTATAGTACTGTTCACTTGCCACATCTGTCGGTGCAGGTGTGACAGGAAGGTGTTAGAAGTATAAACCGTCCATTCTATATGACCCATCATTCTTCTGTCTATCCCAATAGCATGCTTCTCAAATGCAGTGTTTCGAGGGGACCTGCTGCCTCACGGATACCTATGAACCTCCCTGTAACACCGTTATTGTTGGAATCGCTATACACTGGAAATAAAAGAAACAGGAAACAGAGGATTTAGCAAGAGCCAGTTACGCGGAAGGAAAGAACCCCACAGCATTGTATGCTTCCTGCCTAAATAATCTGTGTGGGGCCTTCATTTTTGGATCTTTGTGGGACTGTTGCCTTTGGCATATAGATTATTTGTGTTGCAGAAGTAGTGCTGGTTGGTGTTTAGAGATGAAGGAACTGGGGTTTAAAATGTAGTTCTCGAACCTGGTGCGTGGGGGTGCGTGTTTTGTTATGTGGCTCTCTTTGTAGCACAGGCTTGCGTCCTGAAGCTTGGACCCCTGGCTTTATGGATCTTGGTGTTAGACTCAGCTGCTCACGAGGAGTTGGTCAGAGTCCACTGTTTCGGTGCTTGGGGGCCCCCCCCCTTCCCAAAGTTTTAGCAGGGCACAGAGCCAGGGCAATGTAGAGCCTTTTCTTTCACCCCAGAAGTGGGGACGTTGGCAAAGAAAGTGCAACGTGAAATGTTTGGCAGGTTGTTTTACCGGTGGGGGGAGGCTGGGAGGGAAAAAAGGGGTGCTTGGGCAAGGGGCAGCCACTTTCGGGGTGTGTGTGTGTGTGTGTGTATAGAAACCCCGATGATCCTAAGCCCGTTGCAGAGAGGCACGTCTCTGACAGGGGTTACGCACCTTGGCATCTGCTGCATCCGTCCTTTCCTGCAGCTGGCGAGGAGTGCTGGTCTCAGGGGAGGAATCTCTGAGGCTTCAAGCTCTGAGTACCCTGGAGCAAAGAGCAGAGAGGCTGACACAGACCTGGGGAGGGGGTGGGTGTGGGGGGGCTGGGGAGACTTTGATATGCTTGCAAATCTGCTGCAGCCAGGAAGATAACTGTAATCTGCCCCTCTTGGGTGCAGAGTTAAGGGGGTGCCTGTGTGTGGGAAGGGTTGGGACTGGAGAGGAAAGGGACAGATTTTCCTGGAGTTGGGAACAGCCTGTGGACAATCAAAATAGCAGTTCCCAGATTTGTGTGTTTGCTTTTGGGTCCATCAAGTCCCTTTGCCTCAGCTGCAGAGGCTGGGCGGGCCCCTCGCTGCAGAGCAGCTGCGTGAAGCTGTGGGGACTTTATGGGAACGGGCAGATATCTGGCCCAGCGGAGGCTGGATCTTGAGGAAACAAAAAGAAAAGAGAGTAACAACAAACAGATCCCGATTGTTCAGGAAGATGGGGGGCTTGTGGAGGGCGTCTAGGAGGGGATCTTATGTCGTGTGTGTGTGTGTGTGTGTGTGTGTGTACACACCACCAGACAGAGCTTTGTGGTGCCTTTTCGTAGAGAGGCAGCAATCCTACTACATAGCATGGGGGAAGCAGCATGTGGATAGCACACTGGCCTGGGATTCAGCAGACTTGGGTTCTGTTCCTGGGTCTGTCACCGGCCTGCTGGGAGACCTTAGGCAAGTCACTTCCTCACCCTCTGCCTCGGTTTCCCTGTCTGTAAAATGGGTACCTCATTGATAAAGTGCTTTGAGATCTACCACTGGAGAGCTCTAGCTGAGAGCCAGGCTTTACTGTGTTAGGAATAGACCTTCAATGACAAAGGGGATCAAACCACAAACACAGTGGGTGGCCTCATCTTGAGTGGGTCATACACCCCATGGGGCTGGTCTGTCTTTTCCCTCTGACACTCTGGCAAATGTGTGTGTAACTTGCCATGCCAGTAAAGTCTCTGTGAATTTGTAAGGACTCTGGGTGGGCTTTTCAAAGTAGCCTGAAGTGTGGGGTGGGGTGTTAGGTGCCTAAATCCTTTTGACTTCGGGTTCAGATGTCCAATGCCCTTTGGGCTCCTTTCATCCTCCTAGCCTCCAGCACTGAAATCCGTTCCTGGCTGCGCCATCTGAAATAAAGGTCTTTCCGAAGTGGCCTTTTGACTCAGGTTATTTATTAAGGCAAAGTGACGCAACCACCTCCCGATGGGAGGGAGAAAAGACGAAAAGGCTGGGACGGGCTGTCTGGCTCAAAACAGTCGGCAGCCCTGGAAAATTCCTGTGCTAAACTTGGAGGCTCTTGCTGCTGGAACACATCCGTCCTGGTAGACGTTCCGCGTGCCCTGTTTGTGCTCCTTTAACCGGGCTCTTTTTCTCCATCCAGACAGATGCAGCATAACCTCTAGCGCTCCCTGAAACTAACTTTCTCCACCTTTCTCCCGAACCTTCGTTTGCCAGCCTTGGGATCAGGCCACCCGGCGTTTGCCCTCCCACAAGGATAAACTTGAGAAATCCATAGCCTGCCACGCACCCACGAGCGCCCCAGCGGGCTAAAATAACCCTTGGTGATTTTTCTTTTTTGAGAGACCCTTTTCCGTCCTGTAGGATCTGCAAGGGTTGGACGGACGCCTCCGAGATGCAGCCACCTCTGGGGTGAGAGAGCCAGCCTTTCTGCCCCAGCAGCCGAACAGGCCAGAAAGTCTGGGGAGGTGGTGAAATGAATAGGTTTTAAGGGAAGAAGGGATCTTTATGATCTCCTGTATAACCCAGGCCAGAGAGTTTCATTCCTTCCCTGACCTATAACTTCTGGGTCAGTTGCCTGAACTAGAATTGTGAGTGTGCGCATGTTCACAAACACACCTACACGTGCGAAAAAGAGAGAGTGGCAGGGGATCAACAAGAGGTTGGGAGCCGATTTACGTCCTGTCCTGAGCGACACCTCTGGGCCCGTGCTCACCGCAACCACCGCGCTGGGTTGTTGCTCACAACCACTTCCTGTGGCAGTCGTGGTGCGGAAGGCTAGTGGGTGGGTTCCTTGGTGGGGGGGGCGTAGCTCAGGGCTGGGTACAGAGCCCACCCATCGGGGGGTGATGCAGTCACGGCCCGAAGTGGCGCCGAGCGGCGCTAGATGAGCGAAGAGGTTGATACTGGCCGTGCCGTTCTGTCACCTCTCTCTCGCCAGAGCCAGCCCGGACCCTAGCTCTGCACTGCAGCTTTCTTCAGCTTGTGCCAGATATGCGGCCCGTGGGGTCGGGCTGCCGGTTACCCCTCATGGCTCTGTCCTGTTGCATCGCTGGGGGAACCTGCCTCAACCCCTCCTTTCCCAGCAGCCCCCTTGGATATGGCCAGCCCCGCCCCTTTGGACGCCTCAGAGCTCTGCTCCCACTTGGAGAAGCTTGGCTGAGCACAGATGATATCTACTCCCCCCTCCACAACTCCCTCGCCTGAGGGCAGGCAAAGGGGCAGGACATTAGCAGCAGTACTGGCTGCTCTCCCGTGGTACACCTCCAACTGGACAGCTCGCAACCCCGCATCTCAGCTCCCCCATTCCTGCACTTGGGGAGGGGCTTTCAGCCATCTCTGTGCTCCCCCGCATTCCGCTCAGCCTCCCATGTAAGTGAGTGCAGCCCTGAGGCTGCTCTAACAGGTCACACACTGTTTCCCAGGGTCACGGGGGGCTGAGTATACCCATGCTGCAGTGTGCTCCAGCAACGTCCCTGACCTGCCCCCCACACTGGGGGCGGAGAGCAGAGCTGTTACAGAATGAATACACCGGCCATGGAGCGGCGGCGGCAGGGACCCTCCGGAGACGTGTTCTCTGCGCTTAGCAAGAATCCCTTGGATATATTTGCTTGACTGAGAAGCAGCAGGCATGTTTCTTCCCAGGACTGGTGAGACTTTGTGCAGTTGGCGGGAGAGCTGGGTGACTTCTCGAGGAGGCGCAAAGGACAGGAACCAGATCTTCGGTGGCTTCCTTCTTCTTTTTCTTCTAGGATGAGCAAGATCTGATTTTTCTCAGAATTACAAAGAGCCAAGAATAAACTGCCCTTAAATCTCGGGCAAGGCGTTTTCGACAGGCAGAGTGGGTATAGGGATAGGACTGGCTGTGTGGAACAGGGGCGGGTTGCCGTGTGGGCTGGGATGCGGAAGACGGGGTTTCTGTTCCCAGTCTGCCCCTGACTCACCGGATCACCTTGGGCAAAGCCAGGAAATAAATGAAAATTCCAGCCTGCATCTCTCGCTGTCTCTCAGCTGCCTGTCTGACAAACAGGACGTATAAATAATCCCGGGGCAGGGCAGTCTAGCGGGTAGAGCGCTGGAGTGGAACTCACGACACCCAAGTCCCGTTCCCAGCTCGGGCACTGAACTTGGGGAAGTTTCTTCCTCTCTCTGTGTTCCTCCGTTTCCCGCCCCCTTTTCTCTTTCTTGCTGTTTTGACTATTGTGGAATCAGACAGTGTCGGGCCAGTGCAACCCCCTGCACTGAGGCAGGGACAGGTCACCTAGACCATCCCTGACCGGGCTTCGTCCAACCAAAAGCCTCCAGTGACGGGGACCAGATGGACTCCGCTTCCAGAGCTTAACTCCCCCGAGAGTTAGAGAGTTTTCCTAATATCTAACCTGGAGCTGCCCTGCTGCAGTAGAAGCCCATTGCTTCTTGTCCTGCCTTCAGTGGACATGGAGAACACTTGAGCCCTTAACGTAGGTGAAGACAGTTGTGAGGTCAGCCCCCGAGTCGTCTTTTGTCAAGTCTAGACTGCCCAGTTATTTTAACCTTTTCTCACAGGTCTGGTTTTCTCAACCTTTATAATTTTTGTTGTTTTTCTCTGGACTGTCTCCAATTTGTCCACGTCTTTCTTAAAGCGCAGCGCCCAACGCCGGACGCGGGACTCCAGCTGGGGCCTCACCAGTGCCTGGTAGAGCGGGACAGTTACCTCCCGAGTCTTACATACG